CAAAATGACTCATGTCGTTCAAACCGATCGAAAACCTGTGGCTAACCACGCATATCGTACATCATTTTTGGAACTCATGCAAAAGTGTTAGACGTTAACCGAAATCACGTTTCCATTGTAATGTGAGGGCATTGAAGACATCGTTATTGATGACACTAGCTAAACTCGCTTAGTTCTCGATTTTGGTTTTTTATTAAAAATAACATCCAAAAGGTAGCTTTTCAATAAATCGCGTAATCAATTCAAGAGTGAAAATGATAATTGTGTAGTGAGTTTTTTTTAGAAACTTCTAAAAGAAATGAGAAAACTGTTCAAACCATCAGTTTTTTAAAGAACCTCAGTCAACTGTCAGTTTTGATGAAAAGTATACGAGTTGGGAATAATAAGATCGAAACAAGTTTCATATGATGTTTTTCTGTACTTTTTCAAAAAGAATAGCTATGTGCTTTATATTTGTAAATAGTTATTTTTACACTTATCAGAAACAAATTTTACATGATATCAAACTTCAATGAAATATAGGATGAAACTATGCAAAGCTTACGAAAACCGTTTCAATTGTTAAAAAATTATTCAAGTTTCTTTTTCAATCGAACTTTTGCGACAACGTTTAGACTCGAAATAGATCATAAGATACAACCATGATCGGTACTTTTATTTGAAATCCTTATGCATTTGCGTCGACACAGAAAATGTTTGTAGTACACGCAGTTTTTCCAAATAAATTAGTAAAGTCGAGTACTTGATCTTATACAATAAGATAAACTACAGAGTATTTCAAAATATTTTTGTATCATCTGACTTTCTCAGCAGGTATAATTCTGAGATAGTATGTAATAAAATGTAGAGTTTTCTTTATTTATGATAGTAAAAATAAATCGAATAGAATTTATCTGAAGGGAAAAGTTTAGTATTCACAGTAAACGCAAAAAGATTTGGAAGCAGAAAGAGAGAAGCTTCTATGCTTTCATTTCGCAAAAATAACGGTCAAAAGCTGAAAAAGAATTTTGCCAACAGTTAAATAACGGCTAATTCTTTTCCTCGTAAAGCATAACAGCAAAAGATTTGAATTAGTAATCTTTATCAGCGTTGCATGGCAGTAGATTTAAATGATCGAATGAGATGCAAACTATTCGAAAACTCTATAGAACCTCTTAGAATAGATTCATACATAACAGTAGGATTCTTAAACAACAAAAAACTGCTTTTTCATTGCTGAGAATGAGCTGTTATCGTCGATTTAATAAAAGCATAAGGTTTTCCGAAGATGCAGCCGAACAGAAAGAAAATAACTGATATATTGTCAAGCAAGACCTTCTGGAAATATAGCTAAAGCAATATTTCGATATCATTCGAAAAGATATATACAGAGAAGAGAAGAGTAATTTGGGAATCCAGAAACAGCTAATAGATGAGGTTTTTTTCAGATGCCATAACTTATGAAATGTTAGCCCATTGCAGCCGAAAACACTATCGGTATATTTTAAATGTTACTCGTAGTATCGATAGCAGTAAGGAATCGAACTGTTTCTTGATGATAGTTGACAAATTTTTTCGGATGTCAGTTCAAAAATGACGGCTAGCCTTAGGAAATTTGTTCATACATTTGAAGGTGATCGTCTCTTTTCTCTCGATGTATCAATTGATATGGCCTACACTTTCCTCGGTAACCGTTGTCATTGATGTCTATTTATCGATATTATTGAAACTATAAACTCGATCATTTGATTTTACTGCTACCTTAATGTTATTGAACAGAGTATCTATAATAATCGCAACTCGAGAAGAGAGGTGAAGATACAGATATTATCTTAGACTATTTCATCTCATTGAGATATAGTTTCTTCAAAATACTATCAGTTCAAAATTTTCTGATGTCGAACAAACATATTTCGTCCGAATATGTTCAAGCATACACAAAACCGAGCATAGCTTGCATAGACAATATTCGTAGTCTTCTCTAATAAGCCAAAATAAAATCTCACATTTGCCAACTAAGAAAAACTTTCTACGTTGGAATGCTTTAATATAATTTTTTCCAAAAGTAATCTCATTTCGATAACTCTTTTAAATGTTGAAAGAGGACGAAATAACTTCTATGTGCCTTTTATATATAGAAATTCTACGAAATCTTTACTTCTCCAAGTAGCAATTCTAAAAATGGTGATTGTGGTGTCTTGATCAAGGTTCAAGGGATCTGAAATTCTGCAAGAGACTGTTTTAAAAAATATTGTTAGAAAACATGCTGTTGAAAGTCTTACATCTGAAAGTATTTATGCAAGAAAACTGAAAACAGAAAAAATAATGTGCATTAGTTTTGATGAAAATCAACAAAAAATAAATAAGCGGTAGCTTTGATTAGAGTTTTAATATGCTGCAGTATTTGCAGTGTTTTGATCGGGTATAAGTTTATCGTTATATATCTTCTGCAGTCTCCTCAAAATATCAAACACATTTATTTAGCAGTTGAACAATTCTTGAAATGACACAGAAAAGTTGTATCCTTATACGTATATCGACTGAACGAATTGAGCAGAAATACTACAGGAACAGCTTTCTGTGCAAACTCTCCATATTTAGAAATATATTTATATGCTGATGTCAGGTATATGCTCTTTCTTAACTACTGTCTTCTTGTAGATTGAAATGGTTCCTATGGATGATAACGTTAATTTCATCAAAGACGCCTCTCGTAGAAACACTGTTTTCGACCACGCAAACGAGGAGCCCAGATCAATTCCAAATGCCCAAAGTGCAAGAAACGACCATAATAATACTATTAATCGAATAAAAAATTACACGTTTCTACAGAATAAGTATGACTTTTTTTTTAAATGTAAAATACTATCGTTGTTGTTCTTTCCTAGGAAATATTTCTACTGTTCGATGTTGGGTTTCATATCGAAACCTATCTTTGTGTTGCCTATGATTACAAGCACACTTACGATCATAGGTATACTGGTAGTTTGTTTTACCGCACCAAAATCACCAGGTACGTATTTGTTGGTTTGCATTCTTCGTATTCAATAAGATAATAATCCCCAGTTAATGCGGTTCTATTTCACCAATATTCTGATTTTTGGTTAAAAAAGTTTGAATTATGATAAAATATATTTGATATCGGCATGTTCGAAGCAAATTATCAAGCAGGGAAAGAATAATAAGCATTACAACTGCTTCAGTTTTTCATTTTAAATTAGCAGTGACGAATGCGAGCTAATCAAGGTGATCATCACTGAAAGATCTAATGCTTTGTCCATAAGCCAGATCCTTTCATTTTACTTATTGGTAGTGACTATAGGTTAGAAAAGAATTCCAGAAGGAATCTTTCCATTACCACTTTGTTCTAAAGAAAACATAAGAAGTTTCTCTAAGATGCAGATTATTGCGTTTTCCATATATATATTTTTTTCATATCTCAATAAAGCAACAATTTCACGATCCAATTTTTTACAAACTGATGTTACACATGGTTACTTGTTGTAGAAAGCTCAACTTTATCTTATTCAATGTTCGTGAATCACTACTTCTATAATTTTTAGTGGTACTCTTCCACATCTCTGAGTAAAAATAACAGCTTATTCTGGATTTCTTCTTCTCTATCCAATCGATATTTTCTTGGATATATATAGAAATACGAAAGAATAAGAGAAAAGACAGGTGATTTTCTCATAGAACGTGATGAAAGTAAATATTTCTTCTCTGTGGAACACATCTTCTTTACATTTTCTTACTTTATGTTGTCTGTAGAGGAGAGTAAGCAGTTTATGTATTCCATCTATATCTTTTTTCGTTCTGGTAGTGTGTTCTGATACGCTGTTTTCTTTTTGTCTTTCTCTATGGTTCATGTGTGTTCTCTCTCGTATTCTCCAGTGAGTTCTCATTTCATTATTACATTCTAGTGAATTCTTTTCGTTACCACTCTTTGAAACAGTAAAACTGTGTATATACGTCATAAAATAATAATTCTATCTGACTCATAGATGATTAGTAGTCGACTATCTTCATAAAATGAACAGATAGTAAGCACATTTCTATTTTATCATCATCTACATGTCTCGATAATAAAGCTGAGTAGTCTCTACAACATCTTAAGAGTATTATTAAATCTAACATCAGACAAATTATCCTGGAAGTAAACTTAGATGTAGTAGAAGATCTGTAACTAAAAACTGTGAAGCATATTTATTACTATTTATGATCAAACAGATCGATAGAAGTCATTTATTGCTTACGTTACAGAAAAAAGTAGAGATAAATAGTTGCACACTTGTCACTCAAAAACTATCGATAAACATACGTTGTCCATATGAAGGAACTACTGACAAATACATTAACTATGATAGGTCGTATTCATGCATGGTTAGTCAGCCAGTAGCTTTACATTCCCTTCTTTATCGTCAGAATTTTGTCCATTATTATTCTCAAGCATTCGTAGTAGCATCCGTTATATTTTGTCTGTTGTTGCAATTACCAATTCAAAATACTGATTGAATCACTGAAAGCATTACGGAACACAACTGTTTCGATGCACATTTGATTCTGCAACAATGGGACACAACATATTTTTCGAACGAATTCTACAGTAAATGAAAAGATGGGAACAGACAAATGGTCCGTTTGATGAAGTATTCGAAGAAACTAAGCAGAGTTTCTTTGAAAGATAATGGTTTTGAATTGACTGTACATAGAGTCATACGATAATTTCTGAGAGTATATTGTAGGAATCGTGATAATTCGAAATAATCTATGACAAATAGTTTCATTGCGGCAAACAATCAATCATCATATTGTCTTTGATATATTGTTTAGTTCCAAAGTGTGGCCTCAATTTCAAACCAACGGCTCAAAAGCCAGTTGAATATAAATATGGTGCACGATCTGTCGCGATCGGCGATTTCGACAATGACACAGTTTTGGATATGGTTGTCGCCAATCATATAGTGAATAAAATAGCTGTCTATTTGGGATATGGTGATGGCACGTTTAGAGATCCAACGATGTATCCAACAGGTTTCTACTCTAGTCCTTACATGGTCACAGTTGGTGATTTCAATAATGACAACCGATCGGATATTGCAGTAGCGAATTTCGGCACTAACAATATCGGCATCTTTTATGGATTTGGAAATGGATCTTTCTCAAGTCAAATAGAGTTTTCAACAGGCTCATCTCGTCCGATAGCAATTATTGCCTTTGATTTCAACAATGATGCACTACTTGATATTGCCACCGCCAATTACGGAACTCACAGTATTAGTATATTTTATGCCTATGGCCATGGAAATTTTTCACCTCCAATTACGTATTCAACAGGTTATAATTCTCTTCCATCTTCATTAGCTGCTGGAGATTTCAATAACGACAACTATGTAGACCTCGCCATCGCTAATTATGGCACAAATAATGTTGGTGTACTTTTTGGAAATAGCAACAGAACTTTTGAACAACAAATCACGTTTTCAACTAGCGTTGGTTCTCATCCGTACTCAATCGCCGTCGGCCATTTGAATGCCGACAACTTTCTCGATATAGCTATCGCGAACTCTGGAACTCATCAAATAAGTGTACTTATCAACAACGGCAATACAAGTTTCGCTAATCAAGCTATATATTCCAATGATTTTACGTCTCCATACGCGATTGGCGTTGGAGACTTCAACGAAGATAATCAATTAGACATTGCCATCACTAATAATGGCATTGAAAACATAGGTATACTTCTTGGATATGGAAACGCTAGTTTTAAGAATCCAATCATGTATCGAACTGGATCCCATTCTTCGATTTCTATTGCCATAGGTGATCTTAATAAGGATCATCGATTAGACATCGTCGTCGTAAACAATGATACTGGTAGCATAGATATTCTACTTGGTCAATATGAAGGTTTCTCAAATCAAACAAACTATCCAACTGGCCGTTATCCATATCTGTAGCTGTTGGTGATTTTAACAATGATACTCGACTAGATATCGTTGTTGCCAATTCTGATAGCTATGATGTGAGTGTCCTTCTTGGATATGGAAATGGTTCTTTTGCAGATCAA